CCCTAAACCACAAAGGACGTCCTTCGGCCTATATTCCCGTCCTTCGTCCCCATGTCCGTCCTTTCTCTTTATTTTATTTATTGATTGATATAGGATTAAATATGTATGCCTTTTTTACATGTTGTTATTCCAACATTTTTGAATGTTAACTTACATAATCATTTATTTTGTTTTCAAACAATGATATTTGAATTATGTTTCTACTTATAATTCATAATAATGTTGTTTGTGTGTTTCACATTGTTTTATAATGTTTTTTCTATGAATCCAACAACTTCAAAGGGTCCATTAGAATATCATTATCCAACAGTAGTTCTTCAAAAAGAAATGCGAAATTTTTAAAATGTTCATGACAGATACATGTTTGATTTAAATATTTTATCGAACAGAATTCGTCGAAGAGCCCATTACATATCATATAAATTTCTTGTCGAAATATTGAGAATAAAAAATGCAGAAATTGAGAATCAAAAATTTATAACTAAACTTATAGAACGTCGTCCCTTTACATACGGAGAATTTATGAATTGGATTTCATCAATCAATGATTTATACGACTTAAATGATAACACAAAAGGATATGCGTATTATTTTGAACATTATATGGACCACGTCCAAGAAATTTTTGATCGAGAAGACCCAGAAAATTGGTCAAATGCTTTTACCATAAACCAACTCTTTTTGAACAAAAAGTACTATATTGAAAAGCTTGTTGTTCTTTCAAGAATCGCTTTCGAAATGAAACAGAGTGAAACACCTATTGTTGAAGATTCAAGAAACAGACTCAAAAGAATAATAACAATTATTGAAAATGGCATGAAATCTGAATAATTTGACAAAGAACACCTGATTAAAAGAGAAGAAAATCAAAGGATGAAGTATAAAAACGATTTGAAATCAAGAATTGATTTAGTTTCTGAAAAAGATTCATTACAAAATAAAAAAAGAGTGGATTTTGAATCAAAAAGAAATGGTCAATAAAAACGTTAAATCAATCACTTATTGCTCTTTATTAACTTGTTATATAATTACATGATGATTTTTTTTAAAAAAAATGATTACTAAAAAGTGAAACAAATTACATTAAAAAAATAAAATTATCAAATTTATTTGTAAAAAGTTAACATGTCATAAAAATAATATTCACAGCATTTATGATAATATTGCCCAATTTCTTTGTTAATTTAAATTAATATCTAATAAAAAACAAACAATAAACAAACAATGTGTTTCATACAAGAATTTGTTTTCAATGTGAAAAATTACAATTTGATTAAAAAGATCACAACTTGATATGGTTTTTACAAATGTCGGTTCTAATCATATTACTAATTGGTGGTGGTTCTGCTTTATTCCCTTCTACTTCTACAAAATTATTAATAACTAATGAAGACCAAAAACAACAATCAATTCCAGAATTTTTATATCCATCCAAGACATTAATGAAAGATTTGCAAGAGTTTGAAAGGAAAAATGATCGTTACATGTTTGATCTGAACATTTTATTTAATCGTTGTCACCGCAAATCGCGATATATAAGTCGTGATTTTTCTGGAGAAATTGAAAGAATTAAAAAAGAAGAAATGGCGAGCCAAAAATTTATTACTGCAGTAATAAATGGAAGCCCACTCACTAAAAACAATTTTGTTGAATTTTTAATACAAACTGATGAATTATACGATTTGGAGAATAGTGGTTCTGGTTATTCATATTATATGCAGAACTATATGAGCTATATTAACAAAGTGGTTGAAAGGGAAGACATGGAAAGGTGGATGAACAAGTACATGGTCAGCCAATTGTTTTTGAATGTGACTTATTATATAGATAAACTCTACTTGATCATTAAAATAGCCCGAGAGATGAAAGAAGAAAACCACCCCTTTTTTGAACGCGCCCAAAATAATTTGAAAAAACTAATTGAAAAGATACAAAGAAATCAAAGAAATGCTAATTTCGAGTGGAGATTGGTCGGGTTAAGAGATGAAAGATTTTTACAAAGATTTAAAAACGCTGCACCTTCAAGAATTCAAGGAGAAGAGGGTTCACTTATTGATCAAGGAAAAAAGAGTGTTTTTGGTATTATAAGGAAAAAGTTTCAAAACAAATAATTTAACGAGTTTTTGGTTTTACAAAAAAAATATCATTTAACGTGTTGTTAAAAAAATAATTAATTTAAATTGTTAATTTTTAATATGATTTAATATAATAACTAAAATTATAATAAACTCGTTAAATATTTAAAAAATTGATGTTTTAACTCGTTAATTTTTTATCCTCACATTATTAAATTCAACTCAATTTATTTTGATCTTTGTTTCAAAATGAATCAATTTTGGGTTTTAAAGGTTGTGTAAATATTACTAGAAAACAAATAATCAAACTTGTATTACTAATCTTGACAATGCAAAACATGATCAATATATGCTTTTGTATTATGTTTTTGAGTGTTGTTGGACAAAAACCAGGTGCTTCGAATCACATTTATCCCACAGATACATTGTATAACCAATTAAAAGAAAATGAAAATATATATGACACTTATATGTTTGATCTTAACAATTTAGTAAATAGAATTGGTCGTAAACCCGAAGTTTTTTTATATGAATTTTATCTCTCGTCTATCTGTATTAAAAATCAGGAAGAAACTTCACAAAGCTATATTACTAAATTGATAGAAGGAGGAGAACTTGAAGACCATGGTTTTTTAAATTGGATTAATCATATGGGAGAGTTGTATGATTTGAATAAAAAAAAGTGTTATGGTTTCTATTTAGAGAACTTCATTTTTTTTGCAATGTTATTTGGACAAAGAAATGATATAAATACTTGGGTAAAAAGGTATACAATTAATCAAATGTACCTTGATTTAAAATACTACGAAAATAAATTCAAATTGCTTGAAATGATTGCTCATGAATTAAAAGTAGAAGAACAGCCTCTTTATTTAGCAACAAAGAAAAAATTTCTGAACTTTATCGAAGTGCTGACCAAAAAGAGAGAAAATTCTGAATTCAACCAGAGAGATTTCAAAATAAGAAGGGAATTACTTTTTGAAAAGTTTGGAAATGAAATGACATCTAGACTATCGACACAAGAAGAAAAAACGATTAAAAATTCACAAAAAGAAGAGAGAGGTTTTGCAAAAACTTTAAAGACTGTTTTTAAAACGAAAAAATAAATCAACAAAGTTTAGGTGTAAATTTGAATATTTAAATATTTTTATGATAAAAATAGAATGGTTTTTAAATAGTTTTATAAAAATACTTGATAACCTTGAATGGAGATATAACACTGTTTTTATTTTAATTTAAAGTATTTATACATACAAAAAGAATCAAATAAGTAATTAATTACTCAAGTTTATAAACCATGATTCTTTTGACTCTAAATTCTGGTCTATTTGTCAAATCCTTCTCTCCAGCAACAAAAGTGCATGACTTACATTTGCTCTTGTCCACTCCCTTTTTGGCTACTCCAATATCATATCCACCACCAAATCCAAATAACATATCACCTTTATCCGAATACAAGACAAACGCACCTTCTTCAGGTCTGTCCCACTCATCATAACAAAATCCTTTGCTATCTCTTATTCTGAATTTCTTGGGATTCAGTTTTCCATTTCTTAAGAGGGAAAAGATAAAAGCAGATTGGCTTGAAGTCCATGAATTATCTACAGTAATTTTATCAAACATGACACCTCCAAATTTGCAGTTAGTCTCGTCTTCAATTACAAAACAAAGATTTGAGTTGAGATGAACTTTATCAAAGAAATTTCTCGAACCAACACTCCAATCATCTACATCACTGTCAAACACAACATATGATATCTTTTTGTTTGAAAAGTCTTCCAAGATGCCTTTCTCTTCAACACTTAAATTGAGTGGTTTGACATTAATTACACTCAAATTAAAATCAGTTGTTTTCTCTGTATGAAAAGGAACATTTTTACTCATGTCTTCTAATATAGAAAGTTTTGAATGTTTTTGATCATCTAAAATTTTCATTTCAGCATCAAATTGTGTTCCAGTGATTTGTCTTGAAATGATCTTCTGTTGTAATTCAGACGACTTTTTGTTGTACTTTTTTTCATAAAGTGATTTAAGAAGATTAATAAGAGTAAC